AAGTCTTGTTTGCAATGTTGAGTCAACCACCTTTGGCTAAGGCCTGATGTACTGACATGTCATTTTTTAAAGGCAAGAAACCTTTTAGGACTCTCTTACCCTGTCTTGTCAAGATAAGACAATCCTGTTTTTATCCATTTACAGATGTTCTGTAATTCTGTCAGTGGTTGAGGTATGGGCTTTTTCTTTGCCCAAAGGCCAGTTCTGCCAAGAAGAAGACAAGCTCCAAGTGGAGTGTCTTTGGTGTTCAACGTTCTCTCGGGAGTAGAGCGGTGATGCCAGGAGTGATTGTGTCTCACTACTACAGAACTCTGAATTAGATTAAAGGCCATTTTCTACAGCTCTTCGAAGAGGTTGAAGATTATACTGTCTATACTAAATATGATCTCTATGTACCTAAATAACCTGATTAGCCTAAATATAAGTATTTATTTATATATATACATATATATGACTTGATTTATATCTATCTAACTTGAAGACTAAGAGAATAAACAACTGCAATGGATGAGGACAGTGGCCTCCAAATGTAAACAATGTATACAATATCTTAATCAGAGGTAGAAATGTAAATATATGTATATATATCAATACAATTAGAGGTAGAAGCATACTCACATACAATAAATAGAGGTAGAAGCATACTAACATACAATATACCCACGTTGGGCGCCAGTTGAAGGGGCGAGGTCGATCGGTAATTAATGATCCACCAGACTAGCTTAATACAAAAGATACAGCTTTAATAAACAGAAGGAAAACTTACACCAGAATCCCAATGGTCCGTCCGGAATGCAGGAGCCAAGAGGGGAAGCGCACCCGCCAGGTTTATAGGTAAATTTTTGCCTTAGGGCAACACATCCCATGGACAGAATGTGATTGGCTGAACTCCCCTATCAATAGTGTTTATCACAGCATAAGAACCTTAAGACAAAGTTGAAGGAAAGATAATACAAGCTGTCCAAGGGAGAGTAAATTCAAAACCTAATAAGGGTCTTTGGTGAAAAGGGAAATAATCAAGGGTGTGAAAGTAGGATGCAAAAGCAAGGAAGGGGAACGTAGCCAACGTGATATAGGCTGGAACATCAACTTCTGTGTCACTGGAGTCTCCCAAGGTGGTGCACAGAGTCTCCAACTGTGCAGTAAAGCAGTTCAGCTACCGTGGAAGAGCCAGAACAGCTCTGAGTCAGCATGGTGGGTGACATTGGACTTTAAAGATGACTTGTTTCTGTCTGGACCTGTAAGGGGGGCCAAAGTCACTAATAAAGTTAGAGCCATGTTCAAGATACATGCTGTTATGGTTTAAACCATAAAGTAAAATGCTGCGGATCCCCGAGTGGCTGCAGCAGGCAACAGGTCCCAAGACCATGCTGCAGGTTGTCAAGTGGCGGTAGGCAGCGGGTCCCGAGAGCAGCCAGTCCCAGGCAGTGATGGCGCAGTTTCCCAAGTGGCTGCAGTGGGCCATGAGGGGCAGCGAGTCCCAGGCAGGGAGCCGCATGGTGGGTGAGAGACCTCGATGGGGCAGCTAGTCCCACAAGGAGAGACAGACAGATGCACCATGAGACCACGCTGCGGCTGGTCCAGGGCAGGGAGCCACCCGGCAGACGAGAGACAGAGATATGGATAGGCACGCTATGCAGAGTGAAGTTGAATATTTATTTGGTGGGTTATGGAGGGGAAAGGAGGCAGAGAGAGGGAGGGAGGGAAGAGAAATGGGGAGGGGGAAAAGGGAGAAGGGAAAGACAAGCTGCCTCTGAGGGGGAGGAGGGGAGGAGAGGGAGAGAAGGGGGGGAAGGGACTCAGGCTGGAAGCTGAAGATCAGCTTGCCTTAGAGGATGGGGGAGGGAGTAAGCATGGCCTGTCTCTTAAAGGGACAGAGCAGACCATTACATATGCAGTACAGCAGCACTTTCAGAGCCTGAGCTGGCTAACGTGCCCTTCTACATCAGGTGGACAGATTGGAAGGTGCATACCACACAATTCTATTTTAATGTATATCCATGAATAAAACGTAAGTTTCCAACACTTTTATTTCAGACAAAGAGAAAATAATGGTAACCTATTGCTTGTGCAGTGTGACTCATAAATACTGTTTAAAATAGATTGACCACGTGGTAAAAATTTTAAGTAAGCAAAAAAGATTTATAATAATATACATACAGATAACTACTTGAATGAGAAGCATGCTTTCCTAGTCTTCCTTCGGAGAGTGGAAATACTACACAAAGGAAGTTTGAAGAATAAAGATAATTATAGAAGAACAAAAAGTTGAGTTTGGATATATTAATCATATTGGTAAACATTGACTTATTCAAAAGAAAACTTCACATGACTTTTTCTGCAAAACCCAGTTCAGTGCTGTATTTGAGGCATATGTAGAACACAGTGATTCAAAAGATGTGCAGCTACCACAGCCTGATGGAGAGAAGTCTGGCTTCAGCCTCAGTAGCAAAGTACAATTCAAACCTACCCCATCCCCCAGTAAACATAACAGTACACACGCGGGGCTTGAGAAGCTCTGTTCGCAATGTGTGCTCTAACACAGTGAGTATCGCATTGTGTGGAATCTCTAGAGAGTATTAGAAGACCCACATATGGGAGCCAGGGCGGTGGGATTCCAACACTCCAAAGCCTTTCCTGGGCCAGCCAGGGCTACACGGGGAGATCTTCTAACAGAAACTTTAAATACATCATAGTGCAAGTCTGGTAGAACGAAACACATAAGATCATCTGACATATTTCCTGCCCAGCCCAGAATCAGCCGTTTTGTTCAGGTTTCTTGAACGCTGGGAGAGCTGATGCTGTGGCAGCCTCTCAGCTCAGGGTTACGGCCTCTCACACGCGCTTGAGTGGTTTGTGTCTTTTTTTTTTTTTTTTTAAAGAGAGAAGGCTGTCGGTAGTTCACGATGATATTCCTAATTGAAATTTGTAATTACAATTTTTTCCTTTTATTTATGTAGCCCTTTTGTGTCAAAGTTCTAAGTCCCGATTTTCATGGCCAAAGGAAACTCCAATTCCCCAAACTCTAAGAAGCAGTCCAGATATCTAGAAATGAACTCAGCCCAAACTCTGGCGGGAAGGCTTTCTGGCAGTTAGATAAAGCCAACATTCCTCAGGAACTTGTGAAGCCAGTTCTCATCTACAGCAGAGCCCTTTAGCTCTCCAGTTCACCTGTGGCTCTCTCAGCACCTCAGTGGCTCTCTTAGCACCTCAAGGTCCAATTAGCATTAGGTTGAGCCCGTGAGAGTATCAAGGTCAGTGGCTGCCTCCAGGCTTCCTCCATCTCTCTCACAAAGTTTACTTTTGAAAACTCCGAAAACCAGTGTCCTGCAGCCTTGCCATTCATCCTCCTTACAACCCAGCTCTTCCCACCATTCTCAGCCCTTGCTGTCTAGTCTCACTCTGCATCCTCTATCCCCTGCTGTTCTACACACACATACACACACACACACACACACACACACACACACACTCTTGCAGATAACCTATCTACTTTCTCTCTTGTTCTGAACTCTTCCAGCCGCCTCTAGCTGTTCTTTCTCATGGATATTTTCTCTCTTTTATGCACGATAAGACCTTACCAACCATAGAGTGTTCACATTGTCAGTTTATACACTAATGATATTGACAAAACTAATATACCCATCAAAGCCTCCAATTTCAAATTGGCTGGGTTGTGACTGTTGCAGAAAGTTTAAGATATGTTTTTGTTTTGTCCATCGATTATACCCTCGCGCACACGCGCGTGTGTTCATTTCATTTCATTCTACTTTTAGGATAATGTTACTTTCATTCTGGTTGATTTGTTATTGTTTGGGGAGTAGTTATTGTTTTGCTTTGCTCTTTTTTTTTTTTACTTTTTTGGTGGTGCTGAGAGTTGAATCAGGACCTGGTGTGTGCTGTCAAATACTCAGCTACTATAGGGCTTGCAGCCATGTTTTGCTTTTTTTGTAAGAATTTTTAGGATTCAAGATGACTACTAGTACGGTTTATTTAAAATAAACAAGGATCTTAGGCTTCTGATGAAGGTATTTAGTTGGAAAAATGTTATTCACTAACTTTTTCTAAAAATGGATGAGAAATTTACTGTAATTGCTTTATTATTATCCATGTGTTCCACCTGAAAACACGCGTACTCCAACATGGCCTAAAGTGCAACATTGCATGCAGATTCTAAACACCTCATAGGGTATCACATTAATATACGGCTGTCTCAGTCAGGGTTCTGTTGCTGTGAAGAGACACATGGCCACTGCAACTCTCATAAAGAAAACTTCTAATTGGGAGGGCTTACGGTTTCAGAGGTTCAATCCACATGGTGACAGGTATCCAGGCAGACATGGTGCTGGCTGCATCTTGATATGCAGGCAACAGAAAGTCAACTGAGACACTGTATCCTGAGCAAAGGAAACCTCAAAACCTACCCTCACAGTGGCACATTGCCTCCAACAAGGCCAAACCCAATTCATTAAAGCCAAACTCACACCTCCTAATAGTGCCGTTTCCTATGAGGTTATGGGAGCCAGTTACACTCAGACTACCTCAAAGGCTTTTGAGCTACCAACAAAGTCTTACAGTAAGGCCTTTAACCTCCAAATTTGGGTTGTTTAGGGCCTCAAATGTATAGATAGTTGCTCATCTATCTTCCAGATGGTAAAGCAACTTAGGTAATATCTAGAATAATTTAGTCTTGATATCTGTAAGAAAAAACTCTAGCCAGATGTGGTGTTTCACACTTATCACACCTAGCACTTGGAGCAGAGGCCAGAGAGCGACTGCAGGCCTGATCTACTCAGGGAGTTCCAGGCCAGCCAGAGCTCCAGAGTGAGACCCTGCCTGTGCAAACAGGAAAATCACACCCTGACTTGAAATTTGGATTTATTTTTTACTTGAAATGATTATATTGGTTATTAAAGCCTGGAGAATAACAATAGTAAAACATAATAAAATTGTAGCTAAGTCTCCTTTTGAGAGGTTGATCTTGTGATGTCTCTTTTCAGAAGCTGATAAAATACCAGTAATGCGTGGACAGTGGTTTATTGATGGGACTTGGCAGCCTCTAGAAGAAGAAGAAAGTAATTTAATTGAGCAAGAACATCTCAATTGTTTTAGAGGTCAGCAGATGCAAGAAAACTTTGATATAGAAGTGTCAAAACCCATAGATGGAAAAGACGGTAAGATGACCAATTTAATATGTTCTGTAGAAGTAAGTAATTGATAAATCTTACAGTAATTGGTAAGTTTGGTAATAGTAACTTAGGAGGGGTTAAAATTTATTAAATTTGACAATTTTTGAGGTGCTGGGGGACCAGGCATGATGCATGCTAGCAAAAGTTCTACCCTACGTCTAAATTCTGGTTTTTAAAACACGTTACTATTCTGGAATTTAAAGTTGCTGTAAATATTTGGGTTATTTTACTTAGTGCATATGTTTTAATTGCATGATACTAACAAACTTTATAATATTGGCACAAAATGTTTATATTATACTCCAAGGTAGTCATTTGGGGCGTTTGAGTTATCACTGAAAATAGAACTTATAAAAAAGTCCTTATAAAAAAGCACTTTCATTAGTATTTTAATGTTGATTCTTTTCCTGGATTTTAAGTCAGCCTTGGTTTTGTGTGTATTTTAACTCTCTCTGGAAGATTAATACCAGTTTTTAATTTAAAGCAGTATTCTCCTTACATTTTCTTACTCAGAAAGTAAATATGTTTCAACAGTTAGATGTTATAGAATAGCCAAGATTGCCATGTTTTCAGTATGTGTCTGAATCTTGAATAAACCTCAAAATATGTGGTAAAGTTAAAAATCCTTCTATTATTCCATTTAATGCAGGCAGTGGGATCAACTATTCTGGTGAGTACAACACCCAGGTAGTTTAGAATAGTAGATACTCAGAGTGTCTTTTTTTTTTTTTTTGCTTGCCTTTGTTTGGGAGGCTTTTGGCAAGCCCTGCTGAACCTAGTGAATTAAAGTACACCTGGAGTGATTTCCACATAAATTACCAGTGAAATCCATCATTTATATGATGCTTTGCAATTTGCAGGTCCCATACTCTTGAGTCTTTTTATTACTCTGTAGATTCAACTGTATCCTTGTTTTGCTGTCAGATTTAGGCTAAAGAGTTTACCCATCAGTGTAGATAAAGCAGGTCTAAGAGCTGCTGCTGCCGATGCCTCCAGGTAATACTTTAATAACTAGAAATAGTGCAGCAAGAATTGAAAATTTACCTGAGATTTGAGTTAAAGAATGAAATCTCTCACCACTACTGCCAGAATTATCACAGGCCCACTTCACAGTGTATGAATGGCAGAACGTTTGTCATAAAACAGCTACATTGCTATTAGAGAAAATGGAGCTTGGGAACTATTTTCCTCTTTAAGTCTTCTATCTTAAAAACAGCAATTCGCATAACAAACACAGTTTTTGTCTTCCCCCTTTCCTTACTGTTAGTGCTTAAAAGCCCCAGGGCTTAGAGGAATGGAGAAGGGTATGCAAAATAGAAGGGAGTTGTCTCCTTTTGCCCAGGGTTAGTCTGCAGCTGTCTTCCCCACATCTCACCTGTTTCGAATCATATTCACAGTAGAATTAACTTTCATGTGAATTCTCTATTCTGCTCTTTCTAAATATTAAATGTAACAAATACTTCAGCCTTCTGCAAAGTGCCCAAACTTAATATACCTAAGAACACAGTTTATGCAGGGCTTTAAAGTTTATGCAGGATTAAAGTGCATGCCTTTAATCCCAGCACTTGGGAGGCAGAGGTAGGCAGATCTCCGTGAGTTCAAGGCCAGCCTGATCTACAGAGCGAGTTCCAGGACAGCTGGGGCTACACAGAGAAACCCTGTCTGGGGGAAGAAAAGTGTATTTGTATGAGTAGGTTTTTCGATGGCGGGGGGCAGTAAGTCTCTACTTGTGTAACAATATTATTTAATGTATTTAAGCATCCACATGAAATTCTAATTAGAAATAACATGTTTAGCTGGGCATGGTAGTGCACACATTTAATCCCAGCCCTCATGAGTTCGAAGCCAGCCTGGTAGCAAGTTCTAGGGCAATTGGGGCTACATCGAGAGAGAGAGAGAGAGAGAGAGAGAGAGAGAGAGAGAGAGAGATAGATAGGGAGGGAAATGTATTGCATTGTCATATTTTTAAAATGACTTCTTGAAGTTCATTAGAAGAAATTTTTATGTATGTATGTATTAATTTTTTTTAATTTTTGTTTTGTTTTGTCTTGTTTTTTGAGACAGGGTGCCTCTGTGTATCCCTGACTGTCCTGGAACTCACTTTGTAGACTAGGCTATCCTTGAACTCAGATCCACCAGCCTCTGCCTCCCAAGTGCTGGGATTAAAGGTGTTCCCTGCCACCACCTGGCTACAAGTTATTTTGTTTTTGTTTTGTTTCTTTGTAGATAGCCTTGGCTCTCCTAGAACAGCTGTGTAGACCAGACTGGCCTCGAACTCAGAGAGATCCACCTGCCTCTGCCTCCAGAGTGCTGTGGGATTAAAGGTGTGTGCCACCACTGCCCTATCTATTATTTGGTATTATGATAAATATATACTCAGAGGTTAAGATGACACTTAACTTTGAACGTCATGGGAAATTTGATAGTATATTTTACAGCTGATATTATAAAAACAACATTTACCTTCCAGAAAGCCACAATTTAGGGAAAAATACCTCAAACTTAAAATATTTAACAAAAAATATGTACGCCTTCTGATTATTTCATCTTTCTAAACTTCTAAAATTTTCTATTTCTCTCTTTTGGAGTTGAAAAAATACCCTTTTCACCTAAATATTTTCATGTGTGATGATAAAGCTTTGGCTCTTCCTTTGTCAAGATTGTTGTTAATGCCTCCCAGTTCTGCTGGGTGCTTTTGTGGGGGTTTCCAGGCTTTCTTAGAGAAGAGAGAGTCAGCAGAATAGTTACCAAACTGAGTGCAAGGCAGCCCAGTGGAATAAAGTTCATGGAGTTATTAACAGGCTGTCAATTCTCATCCAATAAATACACATGTTTAAAAATTCTAGAAGCCGGAACTCGTTAGTGTTCTAGGGACTTCCAAGGAAACCAAGTTCTTACCCTTAGAAGCTTTAAACTAAGTAATAAACTGCTTGTCACTGTTCTGACCATGTCTGTTTAGTGTAGCTCTTGCCACAAATTAATTATGTGTGTTTAAGTTTTTACCTTCTTTAGATTTTTCATACTAATTTTAAAATGAACATTGAACTAGATTGATGGAAGTCTGGTGTAACTATCCAAATAAAGATAACCCACTTTGTGACTTAGATCCTTGAAACTTAATTCTCTAAGAACTAAAATGAAAAGCTCTCCTACTTTATCTAATAGCTAGGGGCGTAAAATTATCTGTATGTGTGTAGCACCTGTGTGCAGGAACCCAGCAGGGACAGAAAAGATCTCCATGTGGCTGCTGCAAGAGCAGTAAGTACTCTTCACCACTGGGCCTCTGTCCAGTCCCAAGGCTAGGAAAATTTATCTAATACAGTGATACATTTGAGACCATCCGTTTACTTAAGATGACTAATATTATACAGTTGTGCCTTCAGATTAGTAATTCTCGCCAGGGGATGGTGGTACATGCCTTTAATCCCAGCATTTAGGAGGCACAGGCAAGTGGATCTCTGTGAGTTTGAGGCCAGCCTGGTCTGCAGGGCAAGTTCTAGGGCTACACAGAAAAGCTACTGAGACAGGCTACTCTATCTTGGAAAGAAAAAAAAAGAAGGAAGGAAGGGGGCGTGGAGAGAGGAGAGAAAAATTGTGTAAACACACTTAATGCTGGATAGTTGTTGTGTTCCCTAATAGTTTATCCAAGCATGTGCAGTCGTTTTTAGAAGTTAACCTAAATGCATTAATATTGTGCGTCACTCTGGCTACAAAGTGCACAACCTCAAATTTTTAGTAAAAAAAACATAAGACAAACTGAAACTGAGGGCTATTTTCCCACACAACAAATAAGATGGCCCTGCTGTGTTCAGACCATCGCAGGCGGGGGAGACTGAGGAGACCCAACAGCACAGTATAATGTGATGTTCTGGATAGGG